ACAGAAAAAAAGAAAAACATGATATATTTGAGACTTGCTTTCATGTATTATTTAGAAAATGTGTAATACTCACATAGGGGCGCTGGGGATAAGAGGTTAATTTTTACTCGTTTGAGTGAAAATCTTCCCTCATTTGATACCACTGCGCACCAGTAGACACCAGTATCCCATTGGGACACATGACTGATAGAGGCGCTAAAGCCATGGCTGGTGAGAATGAATAATCCTTTCGACTTTTGAGGATGATTTGTTAATAAAATATCTTCACAGGTGAAATTGTTCTTTCTGCAGAAAAACGTGAACCCAGACATGTAATCATCTCCAGGAGAGTCACATGTTTTTTTGTACAAAATGAGATTCAGTGTTCGTTGGCAGCTCTCAAGCTCTGTAAACAAACAGTGAAATCAAATATTTGTCATCTTATGAGGACTTGGAATGTTTCTTTCGTGTTCAAATTAATTTTCTTTTGGCAATGATTTGAAATACATGGGGAATAGATCTCTTAGGTCTCTCATGATCCAGTTCATTTTTATAATAATAATACTAATACTACTACTACTAATAATAATAATTATAGATGTGCTACATTTCTTACCAGGTTCTGGTTTCTCGTCTTTTCTGTCAGTCGAGTTACACTTATCTTTAAGGTCTTTAATGGCTGCCTGGTGATTTTTACTTTTTGTATCATGGTAAAATCTGCCTTCAGTTTCCCACACATCTTTCTCAGAGCTTTGAATGGTTGTTTCATTGGAATCGACTATGTCATTGTCTTGATGTGATTTATTTATTTCAGGATATTTGCAGGTGAATTTAAACCATCCTTGGTGACATGCTTTCATTCCAAAGCTGACCTCGTAACCTGCAAATCAAAGAGACAGTTATATTACATCATATTCTGCAAAAGGAATCTCATTCTCATTTTACACTGTCAGCTACACGCAGTCCGGTTTGATCTTAACCTCTATAGTGTCTCACGTTTGTATGTGAGATTTTGTGACTTCTATATCATCAGTGTGAGTCCTCTTGAAAAATCTAAAAAAAAATGTGCATAATACATTTTTAAGTAATAAACAGAAAAAAATGCCAGAATTAGCAAATATACAAATTAAAGTATTTCTTCAATTGTCAGAAAGTTTAATAAATGCTCCAGTTAAAAAAAATATTCTGGTAATCATTTCATGGTTCAGACATAAGTGAAAATGCCCTTCCAGTCCAGCACGTCTCAGTTTTTCTGGACCTAATAAAGAAATGCTGTCAGCACAAATATTTGAGCTTATATTGTAAGAAATAATTAATAATAATAATAAAAAAGTGACAGAAAAATGTACGTCCTATAATTATAAATCAGAAGTGGTTTGTTAATGCAGAGATTGTTTTCTTTTACTGTGAACCCATTTTTTTCACATAAAAAAAAACTAAAGATCGACATTTGTGTCACAGAAATTACTAGATTTTTACTAGATAGTAGATGAAGTGATGAAGAAGAATGAAAGGCATTATCTAGTATTTCTTATCCCACAGAAATAATATATTTGCACCACAGTGATATGTTTAACATGATGATTTTTATAAAATTTGCACATATTAAGAATTGTCCCTGCACCACATGTAAATGTTTAAATTCATCATTAATTGTGTGTTTATGATTATCACAACTGTGTGTATGTGACAGCAAATTTTTAAGTAAATTTAAATATTGTACAGTGTCTTTTCAAAATTATTGTTCAGTTTGTGAGTTTGAGTATTTTATTATTTGCAGCTGGATTTCCTTCAGGTTCACTGTCAGACTGTTTCTACATACAGTTTGCATCCCTTTAGTGTTAAGCGGTCTTAAAAAAGATTACACCACATCAAAAATACGTTTGTTATCTATAATATTATACATTCAGATACACTCTGAGTGTTAATGTGTTAGCAAATGAGTGTTTGTACCTGTTGTTATTGAGAGGACGAGTAGCAGCAGAAACTTCATTATCTGGTTTTGGATGTTTGTTTAAGATCTTGAAGTCTGAATTATTTATCTGCGGTTTGTTTCCTGATGTCTTTTTCCCTCCTCAGTCTGTTGGTCTGCAGTGATCTTTCATTAATTTCGGTTTTAAGTTACCTAAAATCTTCCTGCCCCACTTTTCAATCTGTCCATTTTTTTTTGTCTTAAACAGCTCCTTCCGCTTTGTATGTTGCTTCCTCTAATTGGTGGTAAACAGGAAATAAATGGCGTGTGTGGTGGAGAATCATATCACGCTTTGATTAACGGGAAGTCTTGAAACTGCGTGACAAAAATAGCAGTTTGTAGGTATTATAGAAACTGCTTTTATCAGTTAGAAGGAGACGGGTTTCTTTGTTTGCACAGTTCAGTAATATAAACTGAGCTTCATGGATTTCAACATATAAAGGCGGCTCCTGTTTGACAGTACTAAGCTAACTTTATGGGGAAAAAAGTCTGCAACTATACTACTATACTATAAATATAGTAGTAGTAAAGCTGTAGTGATATTAATATTATGATGAATTGTACGTATGATTAATATAAATGTATCTATGATGGTTCGCCGGTTCGATCCCTGGGCTCTCTGTCCTGGTTGTTGTGTCCCTGGGCAAGACACTTTACCCTACTTGCCTACTGGTGTTGGCCAGAGGGGCCGATGGCGCGATATGGCAGCCTCGCTTCTGTCAGTCTGCCCCAGGGCAGCTGTGGCTACAACTGTAGCTTGCCTACACCAGTGTATGAATGTGAGAGTGAATGAATAGTGGTATTGTAAAGCGCTTTGGGTGCCTTGAAAAGCGCTATATAAATCCAATCCATTATTATTATTATTATTATTATTCTGCTGGTTTCCCAATCTACCAGCTTGCATCGTTCATGAAATTTTCAAACTAATTTTGAAGAACTTTTTCCGTCTAGATTGACAAATGACATGTTAATTTAACTGCTGATTGCTGTGCAACTGCTGTGCAACTGCTGTGCAACTGCTGTGCAACTCCGACATGGCAAAAAAACAAACCAGCCCTGGCATTTTTGGTCCAGACGGCCCATCATACTTATATATGTCATTTATATATCATTTTGTTTGATTATAGATATTAAAAACAGGTTTGAATCAGGTTGGTACAGTTGATGTTAGTTGGGTTAGTTCTTGCTTGTACCACCAAGTAAGAACTAAGAACCAAATGATAGGAGTGATGATTTCTAAAGCTCAAGGTGTATAAACAGACGTGTTTTCTCATTGGTGTCAGCTCAATATAAATACACAACAACATTTTATTTAGGTAATAGTTTATTTACAAGAAGCAGGAACAGAAAAGTGTTCAAAGTTTCAGATGTATGGTACATGAAATGGGATTTAAAATCTGATCAGTAAGCCAAGTAAAGATGTGTCGGAAGTTAATCTGGTTCTAGATAATGGCTCTTTACTGCAGGTGGTATTAGTGGACTGGACTTCACTCCATCAGTACAGATAATGTACACTGTATGCTTTAGCTGCAAGGTTGGCGACCCTCAAATAACACTGGAGTGAGAACAATATGATGGGAAAAATGAGACAAGAACATTTTCTCACAGCTTTGTCTAAACGTGCCTGCTGCCACTTCCCCATCAACCTTATGCATGGAAATATCACCAGTTAAACAAAACAGTGTTTTTAAGTAATTAATTTTTGCTCTAAACAGTGATCTTGTTGTGTTAAACTAACCTCAGATGTTGTAAAAAGTAGCACCCACAGCACATCTGTCTCATTCTCCCCAGTAAAACATACCAAGTAATCTGAACCTCTAGCTGAGGTTTTTCTGTGATCCCTGTAAAATGCAAATCATTCAACATTGGCACAGTGACTTAGAAGACAAATGCTGAAATCGTTTGTGAATTGTTCATATGTACAGTCTGTCAGTGTTGGGCAAGTTACTTTGAAAAAGTAATTAATTATAGTTACTAGTTACTTCTTCAAAAAGTAACTGAGTTAGTAACTGAGTTACAATATTCTAAAAGTAACTAATTCCCTGAAAAATAACTATTGCGGTACTTAAAAATGTTTAACCCTCTGGGTTCCAGGGTATAATTGGCCATTTTTAACTACTTTTGATGTTTCCTCCACATTTTACCTTTAAAAACTATTTACTTTGTCTTGTTTGGTATCATTCTACTCAGCACAACCTCACGTGTCTGAATTTACAGTCATGTTTTCATTTTGACAGACTGTATTAACACAATTGATCTAAAGTCAGACAAAAAACATAAAAACAGAGTAGAAAAACTTATATTTTTTACTGTAACAACCACAAACATGTTTATTGAATCATATTTCACAACTTTAAATGCAAATATAAATGGTCAATTTTAAAATCCTATGTACAAGTTTTGCAAACAACAAAATTATTTGCAGCCATTTACCTTTTACCTTGATTTTTTAAATAACCATTTCAAACTATTTACACAACAATCAGCTGTTCTACATTCAATAAGATGTCACACAAATTATTTGTGCCTCTCCAAAAAAATAATTTCTGTCCACTATAAAGGAGAACATCACAGCCTGATACCTGCAGGTCTGACAGCAGCAGGTGTATCACTGCTGTTTCTACCTGGAGACAGCAGTCGCCTCATTGTTCTGACACACAACACAAAACTATCCACAACACTACACACTAACTACACAAGACAACACATTAACTACACACTCCAAACACGCTAATCTCTCAAATCTCTCACATCTCAAAACTCTCTCTCTCTCTCTCTCTCTCTCTCGCGTCACTCCTAAAACTTTGGGTTTTTTTGTTTGTTTTTTTGCTCATAAGCAGAGAGGTCTCGCTGCGCTGTCCTTAGACAGTAAATGTGACGAAACTATTGAGGAAAAAACGCCGCGTATATATTTTTTATCACGACTCTGGTTTTACGCGGCCTATCAACACAGTTTATAAACTGGTATATGTCACCTTGTTGCTTTGTCTTGAAGTGGTCATGTGATTGGCTTACCACGACTACTTTATTCTTCCTCAGTCAAACAGCAGCACTCATGTGATTGTTTTGCCCCCTGAGCTCCAGGTGTTGTGTTAGACAGTGATCGTGATTACCGTCCGCGGGAGCGAGCGCAGCTGCTTGAAAAAAGTAACCCATCACTGCAGTCTGTGGGGTTGTTAAAAGGACACCAGGGATGTGTCTCAAAAGTGTTTCAATAAGGAGAGTTCACTTAAAAGAACATGATTTACTGACATAGAGAAATGATTGTATTTGGCAGTCAGACTCCAGCAGCTCATCATGGCAGAACACAATCCCAGCAGTTTTAGGACAGGACCCACCAGAGTCCAGGTGGTGGTGGTGAGGATGTAGACTGAGGTTTGGATGGCTCCAGCTGAGGTGGGTTTGAGGTTGACAGGAGTGGATCGCATCACTGAGAGTCTAAAAGGGAGAATGATGGAGAGTGCAGATTTAAACCAGTGGAGGCTCAGCATCCTGATGTCATTTTATTAAAAATGATGCTATGTGTATTTAAATAAACTTTTCTGTAATTTTTATTTAATTCAGTTTGAGGTAAAGGCTTACTCTGACTTACTGCAACATGAACATGATCAAGGCTTTTTTGCTGAATATGGACTTCACATAACCACGTCAAGAGATTAAAGACATTTCCAGTTTGATTTGAAAATAGATTTCCTTCCAAATCTTGGATTTAACCTATTTTTATCATTTCCAAATATCACAAGATTCCACTAAGAAATGTGGGAACTGTGACCATAAAAATATTACAATATTGTGTGAATCCTATCACTAGACCAGCATTCATGAAAGCACAAGGACAAACAAGAAACGTATGCAAGCAAATTCATATTTTGTAACCAAAAACACCTCAAGGAAGGAAATGTAGACAGAATTTATCTACGCAACAGAACACCGCAAGTTTCATCTTATCAGACTGGTTTCAAAACATGTCAAGCTCTACGTCAGCGCACTTCCTTTTCAGTTTGGGAGCATGTTGCCAACATTTTGATACACTTGTTTTGCACCTCTTTGTTTTTTTTAATTACTATACACGATTTGACATGTATTTCATATTTCTTCACAGACCTTATTTCTGTCTTGGCTTCAACTTGTTGACTTTTGAGTAGAGAGGCTCCTGTGGAGGTCTGGGTGGGTGTGTGGCAGTCGACGTAGTCAGACTCGTGCTGTGCTTCACAGTCGAATATTTGCAGGCCGATGAGCTGGGTGTGAGGATCAGTGTCTCAGCAGCAGCTATGTCAGAGCTGATCGGAAAGTTGATGGTGGAGTAATGGAGTGAGGCAGGATGGTTTGTAGGATGATCGACGGTGAGATAAACTGTGTTTGTGGCATATTCTGAGCCTGGACTCTGGAAATGCTCCTCTATTTCTTCATAGATATTGTCCTTTCCAGAAAGAGGAGAAGAAAATACAGTTTGAACTGTTTATATTTGATCTGATGAGGTTTACCATCAATCATTACCTGTACATCTTGAAATTCAAATTGGTGTTGCTAAAACTGTTAAGCAATGCTTAGTTCAGAACGCTGGCAAATAAAATGATATGAAAATGGCCAAAAAAGCTAAACCAGGGATTATTAATCATGCATCCATTAAATCAGTTCACTATTTTTTTTACTTGGGAGAGCTTTCAATCAGTCATTGTTAGCAGGTACTATAAGGTCAGGCCTCGGCCGCACAGGTCTAGAGACTGGCGAGTGATGATGTGGCAGTGACTCTACTTTCATGTGTATTCTCTGACTGGTTGCTGTTGGTGCTGGCAGTTGCCAGGAAACTGCTTATTCCCTGGACACAGGGGACTAGAGAGGTGTCAGTGACCCCCCTGGCAACCACAGGTCTTTAGGAAAAAAATATGCATTGACTGATTGGTTGGCATGTGGTTGCTGGCAGCCAAGTATATGGTACTGCATCAGAAACCTCCCTGTGATTGCATGGATCATAGCACACTGCCACAGTCACACATAGAGCACCATTCACTCACCTCTTTGATATACTGTGCTGTTGCTTCACTTCCTGTATCCTTTGAAGATGAAAGGCCTGAGAAATCGAAAAGAAACAGAACAACGTAGATTCATTTCGACACATGACTGAACTGAGACTTAACTAGCTCTTCATTTGACATCTGTCAGGATCCAGTGTGTGTGTTGCTGTTTGGCATATTTTTCCACAATGCACTCCGGAAGCTCCGATTCTCACATCCAGCTTCCCTCAACTACGGCTCATCTCTAGTAATAACCTGTCAGTATTTAAGGACCGGCTGAGACCTTCACTTTCCGCCAGATTGTTAGTACCACTATAGTGCTGTTCGGCCTCCTCTGTCACTGGTCCTTCTCGCCAACTTTTTACCTGCTAGAAACTAACCACCGCCTTCTGCTGCTCACTCCGTCTTGACATCTTAGATCTGGAAATCTCACCTGTCTGCCCCCCTGCTCACGGCAACTTTCTGCCAGATGTATGATTAGATATAGGTGTAAAAATGAAGGTAAGTGATAAATGAACTTACGTTTGTAAATAAGGATCAAAACTATCACAACCATCAGCAGCACTGGCAGCAGAAAAGCCATACAGACGGTCAACACGACGACTGCCTCAGAAAAAACAAAAAGAGTCAGGATGACTGGAAACTGATTCACATGCAATCATCACACAACACTGTCCGAGGATGTCGTGAAAATGTCTGTTTGTTTTCTGCGAGATAGTAAATGTACACTCTCACCAAAATTCTTATTCTCATGTGGATGGAGAATACTTCCTTGGTTCAGACCTTGAAGAAAAGGAGAGTGTTCAGAAAGTCGTATGTCTTATATAACTGAAACAACTGACGTTAATATGCAAAACACACAATTTTGAATATTAAGTCTTATTCCTTTAAGAAAAAGATCAAACGATGAGAATCTGTTTGGGTTTTTGTTTGTTTTGAGACAGAAATATTTTGAAATCATTTTTCACATCCTGCACAGCAACATATCGTCAAAGGTTCAGCAGTACAGACATTAGACATTATAATAACATCTCTAAACTAAATTCTTCTGTTGCAGTAAAGCTAGTTACAGAGAGTTTCAGATATCGTGCAGATTAAACTGTGCTAAGTAAAGATGTTTAAGGCTGATGGACTCTAGGACTAGTGCCCTCCCAGGTGAAAACACTGACGCTGTGAACGTGTTATATGTTTTCCTTGAATATCAAGAAGACTGCACTGTGAGGGAAAAGTTTTTCTAAAAAGTATTGTGTTCTGAGATTTCCCCTTCATATTAAATATATATAGGAAAATGAATGTTCATCAAGATAAACCTGTAAATATTCACGTCACACCTCTGCAGGTGGTGAAGGTGGTGCAGGAAGACTGAAGCATAAACAGCAACAGCCTCAGAGGTTATTACATTCATACAGTGAACTTTGTCAAGTGCTTTTGCAGAATATACTTTTGCAGACTTTGTAACCGATGCAAATAATGCACCTATTAATTAATCCCTTGACCTGACTTTCACTAGTTCTGATCCAGACCTTTCAGTAGCATTTGAGGTGTGCGTGACTGAACAGATTTGTACAGCCTGCTATGTGGTGCACGCCATGCAGGTAATAGAATGCTAGCATTAGCAGTCTAATAAGCAGATGTGTTCTGTGTGTTTCATTGTTACAGTGTATGGAACATGGTGGCACCCAAAACCTTATCAGTCAGACTTCAAAAGTCTACACTGAAAAAAATAATCATTGGGATAAACATAAAAAAATCATTGTAATCGGTTGCACGAAATTAAGTTATGTTTGGTTAACCTTAGTTTTTTATGTTATACCTGCACACATTTTCTGGTAACACGAACATGACTTTTTTATGTTGTTGTTATGTTTTTCATTCCGGTCAAATATTTATACAGTAGAAACCACTTGTTTATCAGACATGAACTTTTTGTGTTAATTGTACTGGACTACTATATGTTATATTGACAAGATTATTTTATGGTAAGCTTATTTTATTTTATAACAAATTTCTAATATATAATATATAATCTAATATATAATTGAGTGTTCAATAAATAAAACTAAATTAAGGCTGATCTTACTGTATGTACTGTACACTTTCTCTCAATCAAAGAAATAAGCAAAACATTTTTGAACAATGACCTGTATTTTTGAAAATACTACACAGTTGTAACAATGGACTTTCAATTCATGGGTCATATTTGTACAATGCATCTCTTGAAAAACATTCCACAACATTCCTCAAAGTTATCTGCTGTAACCTGAATTCAACATTGTGGGGCCTTATGACATCGCGCTTATGTAAAAAATAGTTTTTTAAATGTAAGAGCCATGAGGTAATATGGCAACAGGGGTGTAATTATTAAAATGACACAAAGAAGAGACTTAAAATAACATTATAACCCACAGGCACAAAACCAAGAGACCTAAACTGATTAGTATTGGCTTGCTTCTATCACTAAACATCACAATCACTAATACTAGACGATGCAATCTGTTTGTAGTGGTGCACCTTGGGAAAAAAATTGCAAACTGGTGAAATTGGTGCAAGGCACCATTTCCATTGAGAAAAATGGAAATTCAAAGTTAGAATTTTTTTTTAAAAGAGCCATGGCTTGAAAAGTGAAAACTGCAGTAATAAAGGCCCCAAGTTGAAAAGTGCCAGAAAAATAGGTTTCACTATGTACTGCAACTTTACCAGTGCTGGCTTAAAAGAAAGGATGGTACATATTCGAAGAGGTAAACATGTTGTTCCCACATCATAACTGGAAAACTGTTCAATCGTACAGTCTGGTCCTGAAAACCTGGGCCTTCTTTGAAAGGCTGTTCCTTTTGAGCTCCATAACCAGTTTCTATAATACCTCAAAAGGTATACTTTTCCAGTGGATAGGTGAGGTTCAAAGTGTACATTAGTCCAAACAGCATTGCAGCTGCTAGGGTATAGTTATCCAAATCCTGCCAGACTCTCTGGCCTTCAAGGACTATCCTGATGTCCTCAGGGCTGCCATTGGCATCTCTTGACTTTATGATGTAAATTCCCATGGTTGTTTCCTTATTAGATCGTTGGATAATGGCTTCATCTGTGGCCTAGAAAATGCAGAATTCCAAAATTTAATTAAACAGAACACTGGTCAAAGAACATTATACCAAATCTTATTTTAATCTGTGTCACTATTCCAAAAAATGTTAACATTAACACATTAGGTGAACAAAAATGGATTCATTACAGCATGTGATTTGAGTCCTCAGAATGCTTAAAAAGGTAATGCATGAAGTGAAATCTCCATGCAAAGAAGCGGAATACTGTCAGAGCATAGAGAGGTGTTCAACTATGAACTCCACACACAGTTCTAATGCAGGTAAAAAAGAAAAACAAAAAACAAAAAACGCACCGATGGTAAATTGTGAAAATCCCAGGTGATTTTCAACATACTCCTGGCATAGAGTGACAAGCAGCATTTTGTTAAAATTATTATTTTCCCTAGAGTGTATACACAAATTAATTTTTTTCTTACCTGGGCTGTGGGCTCCAGAATGTTCTGAAGTCTTCTTCCTATTTGTCCTCCTCGCCTTTTGAAGACCTTTATTAGTTTGTCAGATAGCACATCTATCTGCGAGAGTAATATGGACTGCAGTGGCATGGTGGTAATGCGCTTAAACTCTGCATTTATCTAAAAAGAGAAGTTGTCACATAAAAATGCTGTCAAAATCTCAAATCTCACAAGGTTACATCCACACAAAGTTGTTATTTTTTGTCATATTACTATTTATTAGCTATGGGTCCCATGTTGCTGAGCAGTTCCATAGTTGCCCTTACTTCCATACCACCCAAAGCCTGTTTGCAATCACAGCAGTTGCCTCCTTCTGGCCATTTTGCAGTTCTGCCAAATGACCCAGAAACTACATCTATTATTGTCATATACACATCAAGGTCTTTCATTAATACTTAGTTAAATTAGTTAATTTGACTTCTCCAGAAAATTTACCTTACAGAATGTGAGATAACATATGCAAATCTTCACTAGTAAATAAAATAATGTTATTAAAACCTTAACTGTAACACCTCTACATAACAGCGCTAGAGAATTGTTCTGAAGCAACACCAATCTGCCCTTCAGCAGGGATAAGCACCATATATCGATACAGAAAAAATAAATTTAACATATTTATATTGTCATTATTTTTATCTCTTTAAGCCCTCCTCTCAGTCTCTCTATAAATCAGTTAAAATAATTTGTTGGGTTTTTGTTTGTCTGTAACATGTTATCAGTACATTACATTCACTGCCCCAGAACATGAAATAAAACCCCACGTCATGCACTTCCTCTCCTAATGAGTACTGCATAGGTGTCATGCCCTAAATAAACCCACTTTAGTGAAGACACCCCCACCCACCCACCCCCAACACACACAGAGCACACCCCATGGCAAACTAGCTTATTTAACTGTTTAACTAAAACATTTTAGGTACAACCAGTTAACTAAATGGACACAAGTTTGTTAGTCTGTATTCACTGAGAAAAAACAAGCGAATGTGACTGGGCACACACTGAAAAAAAGCTAATGCACATTAGCGGGGGGGCGGGGGCGGTGGAGTTTCAACAGAAAACATAACTATTTTCTGTGATTTTGATATGGCTGGTTTTAAAAGACTGAACATCCTTCTAAAACAAGTGAAAGGCGCGAGACTTAATTATGTTTAGACCAAAAATATAAATGATTCATGTTGGATATATTTACTGTGTTTTTACTATTTTAACAACCTCATCATTGCATTAGTCGCTTTATGCTATAGCATTACGCTTACATTAGCTTTAAGCTCAAGGTCGTCATTTTATTTAATTTCTTTTTCTGGGCTTACAAACAGGACACACAACATTTAGATAACCGTTACACTGAATCTTGGGTCTGTGTTGAGTCTTCCAGCTGCTGACTACAGAAGCTGGATTTACCTTTCAGCATGTTTATAGCGGCTGTGGCTATGTGCTGGTAATGTTACCGTGTGTGAGCAGTCACATTGGCAGCAGACATGTTTCAACAAACTAGTCATATCCCGGCACTACATTAGCTTGTTTAATGGTTAAGACACTGCAGGTACCACCACTTACTACAGACACTGATGCAAGTTTGTAATAGTCTGTTAATTTAGACTGAAAGAATATACAAACAATATTAACTCACATTATATATGTTAATTACTAATTTGCTTATCGCATAATTTCGGTTACCATTAGCTAACTGGAGCTAGCTAACATTGGCCTTTCATGGTTTTCGATAAACAGCCCACATACCTGTAAAATAACAACACCCCAGTAAAAGTCCAAATATATAAAGGGTCTACACTCTTTCTCACTGGTGTGTTAGCTTTAAAATCTTATTTACCTTCAAGTGTAAAACTCCAGATGGTAGTAGATTTTCCAAAGCGAGAGACAAAAATGGCAGACAGTGCAGCCGATTTTTCCTTTCCAGGGGGCGGAGCTTGAGGATAAAACACGACTAACTTGTTTCTTTTCAACATGATTTGTTCTAAAAGAATGAATATTCTTAAAGAATATGTGAAAATTAAAAGACAAAAATATGTTTAGATGTGAAATTTAAATTAGTCATGCTGGATATATGAAGTAATTCTATGCAAATTCAACAACCACCCTATTGCATTTTTTTCAGTGTAGAAACCAATGTATGTTTTTAATACACAGTTTCTGGTGTAGATCATTATCGATAATATTGATGTTAAATAATTAACTAAAGGTCTTGACTGCACTTTTAAGTATAAGTTAGTAGGGGTGGGAGATCAACCTTTTAAAATGATGTCATATTTTAAGGAAATTTGGGATATTTCTGATGATATGTTAGAGAAAAGGGAAAATTTCATCATCTGCTTGCAGCTTGCAGGCTGCATATTAGGGCAAATATAATTAGGGCATTTTTCACTTTTCCCAAGGATTTGCTATCACTGATGACACAATATTGGGAAAGGAGGACTTATGTGGTGATGCAACATAAGACAAATGCAAAGACAAAAGTGTCCTAGCTTAAGTGTAACATTTAAAATGCTGGTATTTTGTTACTAAACCTTGTAACTCTACAGGTTAAGCCTGCACAGGACTGTCACACAGTAAAATTTAAAATAAACTTTTATTTATGATGTTGTATCCTGGGTCAAGTTTTTTAACCAGTACCTTAAAGCCTTTCTTAATTTCTATCCATTCTTATGTGCACTAGGGAAACTAAAGACACGATGTTGTTATATCACAAAATATTACACTGCTATTGCTGTTAATTATGATTGTAGCATAGCCCAAATATTCCACTTATAGTCCAGGAGAAAACAGTCTGTGTTACCTCACATTTCCTTTTGATTTCTGACTGACTACAAGCAAATGTCTTAAAAAGTGACATATATTTTCTTTGAAGGGTTGATCTTGACAGTCACCCACACAACAAACAGCACAACTTACCTACAGTCAAATTAAATCCATCAAAGAAGTCGTCATGTGTTTGATTGTGTTTGTGAGGGACTCTTGCTCCACACCAGTATATCCCACTATCGTTTGCTGTTACTTCTCTCACTGTAATGGTGATACTCCCGTTGTTCTCTTTCATTATAAATCTCTGGTTCACGTCAGGCTCTGTGCTGGTTACTAGCTGTTTGCATACAGTTGAATCTTCTCCTTTGCAGATGAATTTTATACATGAGGAGGCATCCTGGTTGTACTTACACTGGTATGTGAAGTTCTGTCCAATAGTTGATGGCAAAGGTTCAATATCTGAAGACAAAAAGACAAATATTTGCCTTCAGCTTATCAGCCAGCTTTTATCATTTAAACCTGTGATACTGAACATGTGGAATACTCACCTATAACTTTCAGGTGTACTTGTGTGTGTGATAATCTGTAACTTCCATCATTTGATTTTACTCCACACCAGTAATCACCAGCATCCTGTGAGTTCACATGACTGATGGAAATGTTCAAGGCACGGCTGCTGCCTGTGAGAGTAAACGTCCCTTTTGGCGTTGATAAAATGTCCTCACAGGTAAAACGTTTCTTTTTACAGAAGAACTTTATGTGGGACTCGTAAACATCTGGATAATCACATGTGAAGGTGCTGTTAGCTGTTCTGTACACGCTGAGATATGTTCGCGGGCAGTTTATATGCTCTGTAAACAAATCAGAGAATTAAAGCAGTTTATTTTAAGGACTTGTCAAGTTTCTTTTATGTTCAGGTGACTTTTTGAAATGTCCTTGGCTCCATTACTTTGAATAGATGGGGACTCACTAACTGTGGAAATGTTTTAGAAAAGTTCGTACTGCAGCTCAGGACTGCTCATGAGCCAGAAAAAAAGTTCCCAGTGTTTCCGAAACTCCTGTTTTATTCTGTATCGATTTTTTTAATCAAATATTCTGATTTCCTGTGTGTGCCTCGTCTGGTGTCTGACACAAGGATGATGGTGATGATGATGATATTTCTTACCAGTCTCCAGTTTTCCTTCCTGTATGTCAGATGAGTTCGATCTTTGAAAAAACCTGCACCTGTACTTCCCAAACTCTTGCTCTTTAACATGTTTTATTGCAACCTTGAGATTTTTATTTTTTGTATCATGGTAGAGGCAAAATCTGCCATTTTCTTCCCACACGTCCTTCTTAGAGGTTTGTACAGGTCTTCCATTGGAAAGAACTACATCAGTGTACTGATATATGTTATTTGTTTCAGGATATTTGCAGGTGATTTCAGCCCATCGATGGTGACATGCTCTCACTTCAGATTCACAACCTGAAAATGAAAAAAATCTCTTTGTAAGAATCTGGAGCTGCAGCCACGTAGTCAAAGTCAACATTAATTTCATGCACGCATGTTTGTTCTTGAAATGTATGAGAGAAATACAATTTTTAGCACTTCTTATACCACAAAGATATTTGTACACTAAGACCTGTTTTTGATTTGTTGCCTGGTTCATGATGTCTCATCCATGTAACTATTTAAATTCAGTGTTTGTTGTAGCGATAGACTCAGGGTGCTATGTTCAGATGGTACGACCCGAGATTATCCAATCAGACGTTTTACTTCCTAAAAGCTTTAATAAACAAGGTGAAAATGTGTTATGTAAAAGAAAAAAAATGGTGCACATAATTAATGTTAACATTTTTAAGATGGTATATTTTATTAAAGTGCATGAGCACAATTTTAGTTTTTCTATTTATATATTATATATGATTAAAATGTGATTGTTTGCTTGAGTTGTAAAAACCTTTTTGCCATTTTTAAAATATATGAACAGACTTAAAAAGTAAGAAATTGAAAAAAAATAAAAATAAAAATAAAAAGCTTAAACCATTCCAAAACACATAATCACCTGCAGCATATGTATTGTAATGTAACATTCAGTAGTCTGTTGTATTAACAAGTGTTAGTTATCTTTTTACCTGTCAGTGAGAAGATGAGTAGTAGCAGTAACATCACCGTGCTGCGTGCTGATGCTTCTTTAAGAGTCTGATGTATCCTCGGCTTGTTTGCTTTCACTGGTTTGTCTGAGACTCTCCAGGGTTGTTCTTGAATTTCACCCGTATGTGATTTTAAACTTTCTTGCCCCACCTTCCTGTCTGTCCTTTTTAATTTTTTTCCTTAAACACAGCTCCTCCCTCTGTGTAACTTACTTCTTTTGATTGCCAGTAAACAGGAAATAAATGCTGTGTGCGTCAGGGTGAATGAGTTGGTGAAAATTTCCCTGGTTGAACTGGAAAGCTGTGACAGCCTGGCAGTCATGTCCAACAGTTGTGGCAGTAGCATTTATTATATCGACTTTCTTTTTCATACTTTAGATACTTTTTACATGTTTTTATGGGCAGCATGAAAAATCTGAAGCATTTCACATATTTAAGATTTTTTCAATTACTGGCAAATCCTTTCAGTGTCTAAAAAAGTACAATTATGTTCTGTAAACAACTAATGAGCCATTTAAAGATACATTAAAATCAGTTCCAGTGTCTTATTATGTGTGCATTACAATTTAAAGTGCATTTACAAAAAATGTAACTAAATTGAATATTTTTTCATGACCAAAACAAGACTTCAGTGTTGGGATGATTCAGACACTTAATGTTTTGTAAAATGTCACTCCTGGGATCATTAGATTGCACATTTGATTTAAAAAGAGAGAGGGAAACTGCAGGTTTGGACCTTTTTAGTGATCCAGGTTTGCAGATTTAAGACCTCTAGTTTTAAAAGCTGTTTTTAACTAAACTAAAAGAGTAGCTGGTTTTGCTTATTGGGAAATGATAGCTTGCATCAACAGCTTCAGCTAACTGTAATCTCAGAGATAATTTTGTACAAAAATAAAAACCTGCTTAGTTTCCCTTCATATCACAGACCCACTGGGGCTAAGACAAGAGTTATTTTAATACCTCTTTTTTGAGATAATTTATACTCTACTCATATTCTACTCTTTTGTATTCTACTCTAAAAATCTGCCCTTTTTATGTTACGAAATCTATCCCTTTAGTCAGTTCACTATTCCTGTGGTTTATACTACACAGTACGTATATACTTTATTTATATATCTCATTAAAGTAGATAGTCTCATTAGAGTTCAAAATCTCTTTGCATGTAGCAATTTATCTCAAACACACAAAATTAGCCACCACCCTTCAGTATCAAACCACTTCCTCTGATGTTTTCTGTGGTTTACAAGAATGTTTCCTTTTACACGTACAGGTTCAAGGGTTATTGGTCTATGGCTAAAAGCATATTAAGTTAAAGATAAAACGTGCATGATCACCATCGTTTCATTTTTTTTTCTTTTTTTTTTTTTCTTCTTCAATATTGATACGTTTGTTCTGTTTTCTGTCTAGTTTGCAGACTGGACAAAGTGTGACCACACAAATACATTTGCATGAAATCATTTGTTTTTATTCATCTCTGGCTCTTCCTGTTAAAAGGGAGTTCTTCCCTCTCACTGTCGCCAAATGCTTGCTCACAGCGGGGTTGCAGGGTCTTTACTTTAAAATAAAAAGCACCTTGAGGCAACTATTGTTGTGATTTGGCACTATATAAATAAAATTGGAATGTATTGAACACAACTAGCATCTTAATCACTGCCTACACCCGATATCACAACAAAGCATGTAACAGACACGCCTGTCATGCAGAAGTTGCAGTAATCTGCACTAATAACAAGGGGTATTTTATTTTATATAAAAGTATTTTATTTCCAGCCAACATGAAAATAATCATGGGAAAGCATTTAAACCGACATTATTAACACATTTACATGGCTATACATATTAGCCACCTAGCTTAATCGATTCTTTTTTTTTTTTTTTTTTTTTTTTTTTGCCTGTCCCATTTGGTTCTTTAGCCATCAGAATTGTTGTCTGAAGACCAACAAGGATACCCAATGGATTTACTTTGCCAAATGGATCATCGTGGCATTGCCGTATTGGTCCATTTGGTCGATCTTTGTTTTTATTATTTATTATATTTTATTTTCAGATGTTACAGACGGGACAGACATGAGTGAGGGATAGGAAAGGGAGAAAGAAAGAGGAAGGAAAGGAAAAACAGAAGGGGAGAGGGACAGTGAGAAAGGGGGGGAGAAAAAAAATAAAAATCTCCTGGATCACCTGTTGAGAGAAGAATAGAAAACAAGCAGAAAAAAAAACAAAGCAACATACTAAACACAACACCATCGCATTAATCTAGCTAAGTGTAAACAGCAGTAAATACTAAATATTCAATGTTGTTGTGCAGCACGCAGGACAGATGTGCTTCGAAGTAGCAGCCAAGAAAGGTGTAATTTGGGTCTACGAGCAGTGAACACCCGTGTGCATACCTGTGTGGATCCGTGCGCTTGCATTCCAAAGGTTTCTCCATGTAATGATCTGCTAGGGAGTGTGTGGGGGGGCCACAGCCCCGTCCTCCGGGGTGTGAAGCAGGTATGGAGGAGATCAAAACTCCAGACATCCAGAGGCCCCCAGACACAAGAGACCAAGGAAGACCAACAGAGGGGCAGCCGCGCCACTGTTCCAGTAAGAGCTGAGGAGAGTCCCAGATGAGGGCTCACTCAGCAGCCGCGGAGCAGAAGTCAGGGGGAGTTGCAGTGACGCGCCCATGAGCTCCGCCGGCCCCCAGCTGTGCCTGAGTGACCGAGCCCCAGGCCGGGGGCACCCCACCTCCGAAGGGGCCCAAGCGAGCCCTAGGCTCCAGGCCCCGATAAGCGGCCGCCAAGGAGTGAGCCGGTGTGTACCTGGACGCCCACCCCAGACACAAAGAACCACCAACGCACCGATGTCTGAGGGAGTCCGCCACTGGCAGGGGAAGTGGTGGTGGGCGGAGATAGGCCTCCAAACCTTGGAGGGCCTGAGGTGTCCCCAGAGAGGTGGCGTCTGATACCCAACCTGACATATAGACACAGACATACAGGCACACACAGACACAAACATCCATTCCCCCCCCCCCCCCCCCCCCCATGCTCTCATATGCACTTACTCCACACTCAACCAACGTGGAGACAGACATAAAGAGACGCTGTACACATGATCACACTCCCCAAGCGTACTCTACAAACCGGGTCTAGGTACCCTTGCCCCTGGAGGGGGGACCCAGGTGGTGTTACCCTTTTCCCTGCGGTGGGGAGAGGCAGACCACCATCGTTTCATTTAATGTACATCTCGCACCAGGGTCACATGAAGTTTGCTGAGGCCACAGCGCATAACAGCGACTAACATTACTGACTCAGTGACTGCAGACTTCCACACCTCTTCTCTCATTATCATCAGCAAACACCATCAGTAAAAAACTGCACCTGAATCTTTGTGGTATTTCCGTAGCTGAACAGCTCCTGTAGGTGTAATGTGCACAAGACTTGTATTTGTTGTCCATATCGGTTAGCTCTCATGTTTTTGCAAAAATTGTTACTATCACAGTCTCTTAAAATATGTTTGTTTGTTGTCTTAAAGGAATATAACATGAAAGACAAAACAGTTCATTTATTTTTATTCATTTAATGCTATTTAATATCCACTCTCATGTCATCAACTTAAAATAAAACCAGCAAACATTAATGAAACTTTAACACTACATGATCACAACTTTAGAAAAGCAAACAACAAAAACTGCACAGTAGAGAGTTCCAGTCTCTAACATCCCAACAAATGTGTTTTTTACCAGTATACATTCAAAAATCGCGCCTCCACCCCTGACCCCGTGGTACTACTCACTGTGGTAATGAGTTGGCCTAAAATCAAAAAAAGTCCAGTGGATAACAGTGTGATGATGGCATAACATAACACAACATGATTGTCACAAACAGGTCAAAGCAGGTAACAAGGAGGCAGATTCTTATTTCAGCAGAGCACACGGAGCGATTTACGTATCGTTTTTTATAGCATTTTTTTTAATAGCCGCCTATAGCTTGCCCAGGTAACATCAAGGTGTTTCCACGCCAGTCGAGAGATATAATCTCTACAGCGTGTCCTCCTCCTGGTGGGACATGCCCAGACCACCTGACCCAGGAAGTGCCCAGTAGGCATCCTTGTCAGAAGCCTGAATCACCTCAACAACTGGCTGCTTTCAATGTGAAGGAGCCAGCCACCCATCCTGATGGCTGACCTCTTCACCCTATCACTAAGGGAGAGGCCAGCCGCCCTTCAGAGTGAGCTCATATCCGCTGCTTGCATCCACAATCTCATTCTTTCGGTCACCAGCCAAAGCTCGTGACCAGAGGTGAGGGTGGGGACGTAGATCCACCAGTAAATTGAGAGTCGCTTTTACAATCAGGTCACTCTTCACCACGATGAAGCAGAGACATGTTTTTAGACTTCTCTCTGTTGAAGCCATACATGTCACAGTGAAATGTTTGTCAAATGGTGTTAATGTGATTGAACCAATGTGTCAGACTGAAGTGTACATTTATACTTGTGGCATAGTAACAGTATCTTCATTAAGACATGGGCGCACTGGGCTTTGACACTGAATATATGATACAGGTGAGCTGCTATGTGCCAGTTTTTGTATGGTTATATGTCATATTGTATTATTTAATTGCTATTGAATTATCTTCTGCCAAAACAGTTTGGTTTAATGTGGGAAGTGGAGAAGCAGCACCTGAGTTTGGTTTCTGTTTTATAATAAAATGATAATAAAAGGCATCCCGCTTCTGAAGATCATCTTGAGTGTTTTCATTTTTATTACAGGAATAACTACACGAGTCATCTGATATTTTACATATAAAATATCATCAAAACTACATCTTTTAAATTAAAGTTGTTATTTCACCCACCGTGCGACCACTACAATAAAAACGAATCCTTTCTGTCTGCAGATTCTGAAACTGACGATTATAACTACAAACTGTAAACATGAAATAGCTTTATGGCCTCTAAAACTGAAAAAGTTTTACAGAGTAATGACAGACCTGATAACGACACCAGTGATCATTATAAACAGGAATTATGATTAGATCTAACCACAGGATGAGTCCAACAATTTCCAAAATTATTTTGCCACCTCCACGGGACAAGAAACGGCAGTCCAAAGGACAAAGGTCACTCTTTCGAGGATGCCAATGTTCACATTTTGGACAGAGAGGACAGATGGTTTGAAAGAGGAGTGAAAGAAGCCATCTATGTCCACTGTGAGTGACCATCTTTGAACAGAGGTGGTGGTTTAAGACAACAACTGTCTGCCATCTATAATCCAGTTTTGAGTTCCCTCCCCAGACGCCTTAACACCCACTCACATCCTGGGCCATCTGACCTCAGGAAATCACATGATAGGGTGGGGCCAGGTTTCACAATGAACACACCTGAAACTCTGGCTGATTGTGACCTACACCCAGTTTCCCACCTTGGCTCAGGCGATTAGAGGATCATCAGGGGGTCCTTTTGTCCCTCTGTGGGGGGTCACTCCCACTAGGTTTATATCTGGGACTCTCCACCATTTGACCTTAGAACTGAAGAAGCTTCTCGGATGAGAGGTGAAACGTCTTCAAGCAACTTAAAGAAGTCCAGACGCTTTTCTTTGCAAGCTCCTGTGACCTACACCCATTTTCACACCTTGGCTCATGTGATTAGGTAGAGGATCATTAGGGGGGCCTTTGTCCCTCTCAGTGGGAAACTCCCACAGGGCTTAAATCTGGGACTCTCCACCATTTGACCTTAGAACTGAAGAAGCTTCTCGGATGAGAGGTGAAACGTCTTCAAGCGACTTACAGAAGTCCAGACGCTTTTCTTTCCAAGCTCCTTAGATCATACTGTGATGTTACTTATCATGTTTTTTCATTGGTCCATGATCATCGCTTATGGGTTTAAGTCATTTGCAAATCTTTTTTATTATTCTTGTTTACTCGGTTCTATTAATAATTTTATTTGTGTCCACTATGTTGTTTTTTGTCTTCTGTCCTAACTTTACTCTTTGACACTAATGTCCATCTTTCTGTTTAAATGTAGTATTTGTATTTGCTTGGTTGTCAAAACACTTTGCACCCAGTGTTTTTAAAGATTTTTAGATAAGTAGAGTAAATTATAGTAAGTTACTTTTATTAGTTTCATTATTGTCTTGTGATGGTCTCCATGTCTCCCTGGCTGACCTAGTTTCAGTCCATGTGTTTGTGTTGCTGTCTCTCCCTCTCTTCTGTCTGCCTGGCCCGAGCTCATCTTGGCAGTTCTCACCTCCCGCCCGTGGCCCAGGCACCTGGCCTCATCAACCACCTGCCGTTGATCTGTCTGATTACCCGAGCCGCTATTTAAGATGGCGGCTCAGTGTTCCTTGTTGTCATTTTGTCAACTAAAGCTCATTAATATCCTCCAGCACATCAAGCAGTGCTGATGTCATTAGTCAAATGTAATCACAGAGGGAGTGATGTCTGCATGCTCAATGAAAACATTCCCTTATGCAATCACTTGTAGCTCTTTTCAATCACATATTTGATTGTCACATTCTACAAATATCCTGTCACTGTAAACTAACATGAGATAATATCATTTGGTCGAAATAGTCCCACCTCGTTCAGAGTTATATGAGGTTAAATCATGACTCAACTTCCTCAAAGACGAATGATCTAATGATCTAGCCATTAAACTAAACCAATGAGGTGGTAATATTAATTTTAATAGAGAATCATTTTGGATATTCAGTTTTACGAGTCTGCACCCTAGAGGTATGAATGAGAATTTTTCTATCAATGAGTTTTTGTGAACTGTACCCTTTTTATATTCTTTTTTACCAGTTACTTTGCTCTGTCAATCATTCTCACACGGGTAATGTTTGTCTATTTATCTATTTCTATTTATTTTTTCAGTAAAAGAGGGAGTAACATTCTAGATGTCTCGTTTTAAGTCTGAATTTGAGAGACATAAATGAGGACCTTTCCACAAATGTTTATCCATGTGATGATGTCCTCTTGTTTTTAAATCTAACTGCTGCACTGACTTCTTTTTTGAATTAAATGTTTTTCTTTGTTATCATTTTTTGTATATTTGTAATATTCCTTTTATGTATTTCATGCATGTATTTTAAGACAGGTGTGGATTATGTCTCCTCACCCCGTCTTCATCATTAATGACTTAGTCCAGTATTTACTTGGGCGTGACTTAACCAATTAACCAATACTAACCCGGTATATGTCAGCTGGTTCAAACCTTGAAAGTAGGTGAAGTTGTGCCAGAAATGTTTGCTGTGGTTAACTCATAACTCAAATATTTGAGGGTGTGATTTGAGAATGAGGAAGTGATGGAGTAGAAAAAGATGGTGGTGGTGATTAAAATAGCTGTGGTTTTAAAAGAAGCACATATAAGCAGTCCCATGACCAAACACACAACCTTTGAAAGTAAAGACAGAACATTTGTACACTTTCAAGACACAAAAATGATAGAAAGTGTGCGTTTATATCTGTTTACAATCTTTGTTTAGTGACTTTGTGCGGAACAGCTCACTTGTCTCACAAAAGTATTCATGTTGTACCATCTGTCTGACCCTCTCTTTGTGTTCATTATCAAAGCCAATTCATTAAAATTCAAGAACTGAATTATGAATCACATTTAATACACACAAACAGCTGGAAGAAATAAACACAACTCGATCTGCTGTTTGTCAAACCAGGATGACACTAATCTCACATATTAACTCTTACAGACAAATCAAGCACATTAACAGTTTTCTCCAATATTTCTGCACCAGGGGAGAAAATTTGAAAGTAAAGACTAAAAACCATCACCAGGTTTGATCGTTTCCCTTATTTGGTTTGAGATTTCATCTTGAGTGTGGATGTACAAGTGTGTGTCAGAGTGTGGTCACAGTGGTTAGCACTGCCTCCTCACAACAAACTATATATCATCAAGTATACGAAACTAATTGTTGTCTACATTTATGGTTAAAATGTGTCTTAGTACTTAGAATGGTCGGTCAGACTAGTTTGCCTTTGGCTGTTTGTCTCTCGGGTGTTTGGCGTCCAGTGTTGTTTCTTGATTGTTTCTCTTCTCTGACCTAAAACTTTGTTCCCTCATCTCTCTCTGTCCTTCCCTTTTAAGTTTATTTTCACCAACCTTATTGCTTCTTGTTGATAAAGAGGAAATAAGTGGTTTAAGTATAAATAACAGGAAGTGTGTGGCACAGTGTGACAGAAATAGACGTTTAGTACTTTCATAGAAAATTCTTTTATTGCGAGGAGAATCAGTTGAGTCTACACCGTTCTCACATGCAGCCTGAAACTCTGACTTCCACAGAGACATGATGCAATTGATGACAAAAAGATAATAATGACACATCCCCCACAGTCTGTATTTATTTCCCAACTTTACATCATTAACAGCACTGTAAAAACAAACTGGTGCAACTGCTGATGATCTCAATCGTGAAAAGCTGGTTTGTGTGTCAAACTCACAATATCACTTTTGATTGTTTTCATGTTATGTGGGACTGCTGACCAGTTCACTCCCTGAGTAACCGCCCACTATTCTGACTGGTAGAGAACGGTGGATCGACCTGTCCATGTGGTGACACAGTTAGCTTCGTAAGTATTTGTGCATCACGTTTTTTGTACTTTTGTCTCTGTAAACCATCACATTCAACTGTAAATATAACAACAATTAAGATGTGATTGAAGAGCAGACTTTAATTTGACGAAATTTCCCCGTGTGCCTCATTTCCATTTTAGTATCAGCTTAAATTCACCTCCACTAACTGTGCTCTGAACTGGTTTAAACTCTGCATTGGGCTGAATGAACTGTGTTCAACTCTGTGCATGATACCACAGCATGGTATAACACATTATCTCAGGTCCATTGAGACACAATGCATTTCACTGCTGATGTGAACCGGTAGATAATCTGGCAGAAGTCTAAGACCCCCGAACAGACGAATACTGTCACAAAAATGTGAGACTTTCATCTAAATAGCTTGGTTTAAATCCCGAAACCCAAAAGTAATCACATGATTCCTTGCTAATTTTTAACAATTTTACAACAAACATGTTCCTCACAGAGCTGATCTTTTTTTCATTTTCATTTTGCCTGATAAGTGGAGGATCTATTTCACCAGTCTGTGTGGTTCGGTCACGGTCAGGTCGTCTGGACACTTGCTGAACTTCACAGCAGAATACTCACAGGCAGAGGAGCTGGGTTGGAGTATCACACTGCCAGCTTTTTCAGACCTCACTTGAAAGTTGATGGCAGCGTAATGTGGCGAGGCAGTGTGGTTTATGGGATTATTGGCACTGATGGAAATCGAGTTCACTGCATTTTCTGGGTTCTGGAGGTTCTCCTGTCTCTCGTCACAGATACAGTCCTTCAACAATAAGCAGAAAATTAGTTTATGTCTAAACACTATCTATAAAAATTGTTCCTATGTTGCCAGAAACAAAAAATATGCTTTTTTTTTTACAATTTTTTTTCTACTATTCAGCCTTGAATAACCATCAGCTGACATTTTTTTGTCTTGTCGTGAAGTCTGAAATGATTCCAAAATTGACGTTTTGCAGACATTGGAGAGTTTACATTGTTGTCTAGACTCACGTCTTTATATTATGTTTATAATGAAAAAATAAAACAAACAGTTACAAGAAGAGTGAGAGATTATTGAAAGCTAAATCACTGGGGAGACTGAATCTCACAACCTTTTTCCACTACAACCTATTCCACTGACCTAACAGCACAGCAATTATAGGATTATAGTGTAACATGATGACTTGGAAAGTCCAAGTAAGCAAAGTTCACCATGTAATAAATAAGAATTTACAATAAACCTGCAGAAATGTCACAAACATTAAGAAACAACTTTAACATCCGTCTGTCGACTGTGTAGTTCTTGCTTCATAAGGAAGACGACAGAGCCTTTAGCTGTCAGGCCCCTCTTCTGTGAAACCAGATGAGGGCTGGATTAGGTGACCCTCAATCCTCTCCCAGTTATGCTGCAGTAGGTGTAGGCTGTGGGGGTGATTCCCATCATGCATTGAGTGTTTCTCCTTCAGTCAGCTTTCTCACTCACTATGTGTTTATACACTTCTTTGCACTGAATCATTACTTATTATTACTACTCATTGTAGTTCTCTTCCACAGCATGTCTTTTGTCCTGTCTCCCTCCCCTCACCCCCAACCAGCTGTAGCAGATGATCTCCTCTCCCTGACCATGGTTCTACTGGAAGTTTCTTCCTGTTAAAAGGGAGTTTGTCTTTCCTACTGTCGCCAAAGCGCTTGCTTATAAGGGGCCATCTCATTGTTGGGGTTTTCTCTCCATTACTGTAGGGCTTTATTTTAATATAAAGTGCCCTGAGGTGACTGCTGTTGTGATTTTCAATTCAACTCAGTTTTGATAAATAAAAGTAAAAAAAGAAATAATTTCATCACGAACCTCTTTGACATGACGTCCTGCTGCACCATTTCCTAAAATAGCAACCAAGCAGAATTATTTATTAGTAGTTCATAGTTTGGTTTTAATGTAAATCTGGTTTAACTACGAATTGCCAAAGACCATTAATTTAATGAAATAAAAAAGATATCTTGAAACTGCGAACATTCTTACGTTTGTAGATGAGGATCAGTGCTATCAGAAACAGCAGGAGCACAGCTACAGACACAGTAACACTGATGATAACTTCTAAGCCATCTGTAAAATAAAAGAAAGACCAAAGAGAAAATATTAACCCACAGGTTTGTTTTTTTTAACCATCCAGAAGGTCTCTGTTGAGGAATTTTACAAAAATAAAGTTTGAAAATATTAATAATGAAAAATACTCTAAAAAAAAATATTGAAAACACTGAAAACATTTCAGAGTGATACATTAAAAAAACAACATTTTTTCACAGCTTTTTATAAACTGGACCTCGACAAAATACTTAAAACATGTCTTACTTTATCCTTTAACGTCACAATAAAGTTATTTTAAAATGATCTTCAAATGTTTCTATTAAAAGAAAAATGTTTTGTTGCAAACATATTTATAATTTCTAGCATTCTAGCATGAGTGGAAAGGGGCTGTAGTTACTCCAGTCTTTAAAGGAGGGGAGCGTGACTTGATATGTAATTATCGTCCAGTTTCCATACTCTGTTCTTTCAAATGTGCTTGAGAAGGCTGTGGCAGCACAGTTAATTGATTACTTAGAGACTAATCAACTGCTTCATCCAATGCAGTTTGGTTTTAGACCAAAATTTTCCACAGAAATGGCAAATTGCTATTTTGTTGAAAATATTAAGTGTAATCTGGATAATGGTAAAGTTGTGGGTGCAGTGTTCCTTGACCAAAAATAGGCTTTTGACACTGTCAGCCACGACATACTTCTTTCCAAGTTGATAAAATTTGACTTTGCAAAGCAAGCAGTTGATTGGTTTGAGTCCTATCTTCACAAAAGAGAGCAGTGTGTGAGGGTTGATAAAGAAAAGTCATCCATGTTGGAAAACAGAATGGGTATTGTGATCCCAATGATCTGTACTTGGCCCATTGCTATTTAATCAATCAATCAATCAAAGCTTTATTTGCCACATGCAGGTTGTCCTGCAGTGAAATGCCCCCCCCCCCCCCCCCCCCCCCCCCGACCTTACACAACACAGACATCACATGGGGATACAAGTCGGAGATCGGTAGCATTACAGAAAAACACTGAAATGTACACTACAATGGGAAAGTACAAGAGGGAAAAAAAGAGACCTCTACTCATGCTGTGCTTCCATGGTAGGACAGCACGAGAACAGGAAACAAAAAAACTCCTCTGCACAAAAAGCACATAATTGTCCACAGCACAACATTGTGAAAGACATGACAAGCCACAGGGGTGGGTGGGGGGTGAGGAGTAATCCGAAGTGAACACAGCAGCCGCCCTGCACAGCGCTACCATTCCAGCGCGGCACACAGCCCCGCCGTGTTCCCCCGCAGGAATCAAGCATCAAAGGCGTTTGGAAAGGGAGGGGGATGAGTGTGTGCTTATCAGTGTAAGTGTATGTGTGCGTGTCCATAGTTCAGCTGAGACAGTGTCCTTCGCCCTGCCAGGCTAAGTAAACAGTCTACCAGCCAACCCAGGTGGCCTGCATGGAATGGGAAGGAACAAACTAAACACGGGGCCGACCGTGGCTCAGGGGGTTGGGAAGCGCATCTGTAACCGGAAGGTCGCTGGTTCGATCCCTGGGCTCTCTGTCCTGGTCGTTGTGTCCTTGGGCAAGACACTTTACCCTACCTCCTACTGGTGTTGGCCAGAGGGGCCGATGGCGCGATATGGCAGCCTTGGAGAGCCGCGAGCTTCGCCATACTTGCGTTCTGTGATGTTGTCATTTCTTGTGCTCAAGGAGCCGATTTCTGAGAACTCACGGCAGTGTGCCTCCCCGAGATGTCATCCAATTTGCGCCCAGAGATGTTATTCTGGGCTAGCCCTTTCGAGATGTATCCAGTCTGCAGTCAGAGATCTTATTCTGAGTATTCACAGCAGCCGTAGCCTCTCCAAGATCTTATCCGTGCTGCACTCAATGAGCCCATTTTGAGAAACTCATGCCTCTTCCCATCGTTCCAATCCCAGCGGGCAGCCCTGTGGGGGTTTGAACAGCCGGTTCCGCTTTCTTAATTCTTTGATAAGTCAGGGCCAAGCCAGCTCCGATCAGCAAGAACCCTGTTATCATGGTTCCGAATAGGTAGATATCTTCAGCACTCAGGCTCACCCGAGCCCAAACTTCTCGTTGAGAAAGGGGTGTCAATTGCATTTAGGGAGCAGTTGATCCAATCCATAATTCCTCTTTTAGGTTTTAGAGAACAGACTGTGAGAGAATGTTCCAGGGAAAAGTAGTAAAAAACACGAGACAAGACAAGGACATAAGCAGGGAAGATAAGGGAGAGGAGAGGAGAAAAGTGCGACCGCCTTCGCTGAGAGCCAAACGAGAAAGTTTGTTTATAAATGATTTGCCTGCCAGTTGTCCAAAAGCTAGCTGCCAACTTTATGCAGATGATGCAGTTATACACGTACCAGCTAAGTCACCTGGTGAAGCAGCAGACACCTTATCGGCACATCTAAATGATGTCCAACAATGGCTGGAACATAATCATCTTGTATTGAATAAAGAAAAAAACAGTTTCTATGTGTTTTTCTATTAGGAAACTAAGTTCATCTGATGATTTTAAAATCAAGTTAAAGAACAAAGAAATAAAAAAGGTCAAAGATTTTAAGTTTCTGGGAATAATTTTAGATTCACATCTTAAATTTGACAAGCATGTAAAGAAGATTTCTAAGACGGTCAACGCTAATCTGAATTGTTTTAAGTTGATTCGGCACTATATACCTAGTTCAGAGGCTCAGTTATTTATGCATTCTATGATATTCTCTCATTTTTAATATTGTATGACAGTTTGGACCCAGGCAACACCATCTATAATTCAGCCTGTGGTGTCCTTATATAACCAATCTTTAAAAATAATGGATAAAAACTCTGTTCGGTGGCATCACTGTCACATTTTAAAGAAATATAATCTACTTAGTTTTAAGAGTTTTAATCATTTGTGTTTTCTTAAATTAGTCTTTAAATGTATAAATAGGATGGATACATCCAGAGACAAGATAGTAATCGCAAGGTGAACGGCAACTGCAAGCTATTATATTGCAATATATTTACAGATAAAACCAGCAAGTGAAATAGACTGATTGACATTGCGTACAACACAGAGAGCCTCATTCTGACACTGTTGTGTCTCCCTTCCCAATTGAATGGCAAATGCAAGAGGGGATTCAAAGGATAAAACATGGACTAATATAAGATCTATTTGGTCAGTCAGCTTTTTCCATAAAGGCGTTGCCATCTGTGGAACACACTTCCAACCAAAATCAAATTGATTACAGACATCAGATCCTTTACATTGAAGGTTAAAGTTTGGTTAAAAGGAAATCAGAGATGTAGCCATTTTAACTAATTTTAATATTATTTTAATTTATTGTCTATTAACTGTAATTGTATTTATGATGTCATTTGGTTTTATGAAAGTGTATGCTTTATTGTAAAATGTATCTATTTTGATTGTAAGCCCAACAAGGGACAATTGTTGACAATTAGCAATAGCTATAAACTTATGTGCGTTACATCAGCTTCATGTTTGTACTTGGACTATGTTAAACTGCACTGTCCCTTTTAAATAAATAAATTCAAATTCAAGTTCATTTTTGCAGTATCGGGAGTAAAGTCCCTGCCTTCTGTGTTCTTATCGTAAAGCTCTTCAGTAACATGGAACTTCTTCATTTACATCTGCACTATAACATGTAGTATTTTAGTCATGCCCTGATATAAAATTGAAACATAAGAGGGTGAAGATGTGAATTACTCACCTTTAACCTCTAGATGTATTTGTTGAAGAGAAAACTCTTTGTCACCTGATTTCACTCCACACCAGTAGACTCCAGCATCCTGTGAGGACACATGACTGATGGAAATGCTGCTGCTGGTGTTTGTTGACATGATTCTCCAGTTTGGCTGCGGAGAAGGGCTTTTTGGTAAAACGTTCTGACAAGTGGAGTTATCCTCTTTGCAGAAAAAAGCGGGCTTGTATTTTCCATCAGAAGAATCACAGGTGATGGTGGTGTTATTATTTCTGTATGCAGTTTGATTAAATGGTTTGGGGCACCCATCTTTATCTAAAGGGAAAAAAGAAAACCAAGATAAAACACAGTAAAGTGTGTATCAGATATTTTACTCTTCATTACATTTATCTTATTTAACATTGCAAATAAAGTTTCTTTTATGGGACCAAAAAACCCACAACTTCGTACCAACTTCAAATTCTGTGTCTTTGGATTGTTTTCCGTTGCTGTTGGCATTATTAAGCTCCTTGACGATCAACTTGCCAGGGTTTATTTTGTTTTTTTGAGGAAGATTAACAACTTTTTCCATTTGAAATCTTCCATTTGTTTTTTGATTGAAGATGAATTTAACCCACTCTCCTTCGCAGGGTGCTGCTTCTGACATCCGCTCACAACCTAAAGACAAATATTCACATCATGTCAGATGTCAAAAGTCACACACAGTTATTTATTTTAATGTCTCTTATTACATTTGATTTAAATGGCCAGTTTGATCTAAATTAGTTAGATTAATATGAATGCATAATTATGGTGTATGACAAAACATACAAGTGTTTTATTTCTTCTTGTTCATTTTCATTCTTTGTGAACAATTTTGAAATGTTGTGTTTTTGTGTTGTAGCCGTGCCTTTTAGCTCGATATATAACAAATGAATTGCAAAATGTCTGTCAAGGTTCTCAGTCATCCAGGTCATTGTAGTATAAGGAGTTTGGAAAGAAAAGCGTCTGGACTTTTCTTGAAGATGTTTCATCCGAGAAGCTTCTTCAGTTCTAAGCCAAGCTTCATTTGAAAGCCTGATGCTTAGCCTCGTCCACCCCAGCTGTAAAACTCAGAAACCAGTCTTACTTGTTATCATCTATCGTCCACCTGGGCCTAACACAGAGTTTCTGTCTGATTTCTCAGACTTTTTATCTGATTTAGTTCTGAGCTCAGATAAAATAATTATTGTGGGTGATTTCAACATCCATGTAGATGCAAAAAATGACAGCCTCAACATGGCAACATTTGGTTTCTCTTCATTGGCTTCCTGTTAAATCCA